ATTCTCTGGTAGGTGGATAAAAATGTCAGCGACCGACACTATTCTGTTGCGACATCTTATTATGCATTATGTGGACTAGTCAAAAACATACCCTTTCCACATCGTATGGAACTTCACAGACTTTGAGTAAATGCAAAAAAGGAGAAAGACGGTCCGCTCTGACTTTTCATTCCAGCCTGGATCCCTTACTGGTGCTATCGAGATTACAAGCAAACAGTATGCAAGATCAATAAATTACAAATTACAAGACACTTCAGCCGTCATCCCTGCCGTGCTTGGTGCCATTATTATATAAATACCCCAAATCCTGTCGTGCAAAACCTAACATTTAAAACCTAATATCGCGTTTCGCCACCCAAAGAGGCCGGTGGCCTCCACTCTGGTGAGAAGTATACTAAATGTTAGCTGGCGTGAAAAGAGATTACAAATCTACCACAAAAAACTTGATCTTAACGCTTGACGCGGTTTGCGTCTAGACCTCGGTCTTTTCTGGGCAGTCAAAGCAAAAAGTCCGAAAACATCACTTTAGCTTCTTTTACGTTCGAACTCTCACCTGCGATGAGGCCAAATGGGCGAACAATATTCCCAACATCCGCGACAAGGCATGATACCGTGGTTGTGCATAAAATGTGATGTCTTATTTTACCCATGCATAAACGCCTTCCTTGGGCCTTCACTATCTGAATCACCAAAAAGCTATATTTTGCGTTCGCACCAACATAGTAAAAAAACTCGAGGTGCCGACGATGAGTAATGCTCTACAATGGGAAGACCCAAAATGTTAGTCTTTCCTACCTGGGGTTGATATACAACTGATCGGAGAAAGTAAGTAAAAGATTGGCATTTCAATATTCTTAATCCTCCTGCTTAATAATTCTTTATCCTTTTCTAGTTCGATGCAGACAATTCGATAACCCATCCTTTTTGAAAACCTGCTTACTCTTCCTCCTCCGCTTATAGGGAGGACTTCAATAGATAAAATATTAAAGTAGGCGTCTCTTCGAAATTTAAAATTTCTGAAGCGTTTTTTAGACTTTCCTTTAAGATCGCCGATATAACATAAAATGGAATTTAGCCCACTTCAGAAGAGGAGTGAGAAGACTTGTGGACGCTTTAGGTTGACCATAGCTGATTAAATTACCGCGGACAGAGCATGGTGTCAAGCGCATCTTTTTTCCCTTTCGGGATTCAGTAACTTCGTTACGGATTTAACTTATCAACGAGGCGGTGTAAATTCAGCCGAAAGCACTTACGAAAACAATCTCTCTTCGAGAAATTTTTATTCAATCTCATTTCGTGAAACCCTGTAGGAATCCAGCTGAGGTATACAAAGAAGCCTTTTGCGATGTTTTTGCAACGGCAAACGGTTGAACATTTAATTAATGCGCCCGACCGATTTGCGTCAAAGAAGGAATCGAAATCAGATGATATATTTGCTCCCGAGTACAAGGCCTACTGGACTCGTGGCGAATAGGAGATGTCTGTGGCACTGAATCCTGAATTTTTTACACTGAGTTATCGCAAGAGAGGTAAAGAACCGTTCTGTATCTTTGACAAAAAAAGAATTTTTCTGTGTTTGAACTTAAAGGGGTAATGTGTGGCAAGCTGTAGATAAAAAAAGATCTCAACGGTTTTTTGATCTGCATCACGTATAGGCGCTGAGAGAATTATTTTGGTATCTTACACATAGATTATTCATAAGCCGCTTTTAATTCTCTCAACCGATGCCTCCTTTTATTTCTCTCTTTTAATATTATACGTGTAGGACAATCTATTTCCTGTAAAGCGCGACGGAATTCCTAGCCTGTTGTTTAAATTCAGAGGCGAGATGGAAGTGTAGCTCTCCCACTAAACCCTATACGTATAAAAATGCCTATTTTCGAGATTTCGATCATGATTTAAAAAGGAGATTTGGACGATTTAGCATAACAGATGAATGTCAACAAATAAGCCACCTTAAAGACTACTAAAAACGCATCCTGCATATTGATACTGTTGGCGACCACTATTGGCGTTAGTGACAAAACTAGGGGGAAATAAGGCTCCCTGTAGCGGAATTATTAAGTGCAACGGTCTGATGCATGGGCGTGTTCGAAAGGCATGTGTAATTTCAACCTGGTCTAGAAATGAACTCTGGGGGCGTGCCGTCTGTTCAAGCACGCATGCCAGTTAGGCTGTTGTGAACGACGACGACGACGTCCGGCGTGAGGCCGACGGAGTAGGCACAGGGCGGTGGCTTGCGCGTGAATTTATTGATAATGAGGCAGACTTGCGCATACTCTACCGCGCGTGCATTCTTCACGCCTCCACCTAACTCAAGGGAAAGGCAGTGTCAAGACGACCGAAGGCAGGCTCGGACGCAGTCACTGATAAAGCTAAACGGTCCGTCCACGCATGCCACAGACGATCTGGTTACTACATCATGTACCAGGCCCTCATTATGGCTGTGCAAATCTCACATGCGTGACAGTGCATGAGGGCTGAATTAAGAAGGAGCCATTGTATCTGGCTATTGGTTGACCAGTTCGACACTTCAGGCAAACACATAGTTTTGACCGCGAGGATCCACATATCTCGTCAGTCGGCAGCCTTTCATGCCAGAACTTTTTGTGCGTAGTCATGGATTTGAAGGCGTCTGCTTTGTTAGGGTGAGGAATGTGCTAGTGTGTCGTGAGAATGAATTCCCCAGTGTAAGCCTCTCATGCACTAATCAATTGTTCTAGTCTCTGACAGATGCTGTGTGTTTGGCGCAGCATTGGTTGACAGAGCTCGACAGGGCTTATATGTGTGCTACACACGAACTGGTCTTAATTTAAGGTAAGTGCCTAACTATAAAAAAACATTTGAATGTTCTGTGGCAGTTTTTCCGCCAACTGAACACGCCGCTTATCTCAGTAAAAACGCTATGGAAACATCCCAAAGACCTCATTTGGGTGTCTTCAAATTCTTCAAGAATCGTGAAAACTCGGTAGGTAAGGCTATCTGCTACAAAAATGCTGCAGGCATCTTAGAAGGCAATGCAATAGAGGTTAATGAGAACCGCTAAGCCTTTAAGGTCCATTTTGTCAACTCTCAACCCCTGCCAAAGCATCGCCGCTGGCTGTGATCATTCAGAGCCCACATCGGCTCTGTTAACAACCACCTCGGATACCACAGCAGTAACAACAGTAAATATGACCTCAACCATACGCCGCAGATCAAAACCGACATATTATCCCAGGTGCCCGCCCTGTGAAAGTACGTTCCGGACCCTGGTCGTCCTAGGTGGACAACTCTGTGCCTATCTCTACACAAGCACCATCCTCTAACGGATCAACCACGGCACTTTAGTCTGAGCGGTGTGAGACGTCAGCACAAGGAACTCAAGCCAAGAAATAGTAGGTCATACAGGCTTGCCAAACTGGTAGGCGTTTGTAGCTGCGACGTGGAATTATATGGATTAAGCGCGTAATGTAGTAATTGCCAATCCTCGACGCACGAACGCGGCTTCCTTCTGTCAGTCACGTCTATGTTGAATCCGTTCACTTCCCAGACGTCTGTACAGTCTCTAACCACCCATAAGGCTGCCTTCCTATCAAAGTTAACAACGATGCCGAGACCAGCATCACACTGAAGTCCCCAAGGTCAAACGAATTAAGGCTTAGGGCCAATTCCGTAGGCCTCTTGTGTACACTTCAGCGCTGAGCGCAAAGTACTCGACCTCGTCGCAAGCGGCGAGGTCAACTCCTCTTCCAGGGAGGACAGAGTGAAGATTTGCTGGCAAATATCAAAGCGAACGCCTGCTGCATCTGCCTGGCTTTGTGTTCCTACACACGCTGTGTTTCAATAACAAGAAAAGTGGATCTCACTTATGATGGGCGAGGGGGGGGGGAAGTTGTGACTGACAAAACCGAACGACCCCTCAACGCCAGCCATACAGGACACGCTTCTCTCAAATCCACGTGAATCAGGCTTCAAGGGGTGGCGGAGTCTCTTATTATATGTGAGAGTGCAATAAAAACCGCGTCAAGAAGGAACAGTTGCAGTCTGACCCTTGGTGCCCAGCAGGACTGGGTCATCCCTTTAGTTGACAAGCTTCCAGCCTATGTAGCATTCAAGTAAAACTCTCATTTTGGTAAGTAGGAAAAGTAACCATCAAAACATCACCCAAAGTTAAGTGTGGTTGCTGAGAATCTTATAGCATAATTTTAGATTTATACCACCTGCTTCACGGAACCAAAAAGAATGGGTATGAACAATAGGAACATGCACACCTAATAATTTTTAGAAATCGGAGTGCCAAGAAAAGGCAACGTTGGCAATTGTGGCATAAACAGAAGAAGTTAAGTTATTTCACAGGCAACATCTACTAAATCATAGTCCAGCATATGGAGTGCCTAAAGACAACGGTTGGCTGCAGGACCCAGGATAGATTGTAGCAGCCGCTCCAGTTCTCCTTTTCTCCGGCTCCGTTTTGTCGGTCGATGGCCGCGACAATCGTTGCCAGGCCGCTGACACACAACCACCCCCGCCGATTATAACTGGACCCCCCCCCCCTCCTGTCCAGCTGCAGTGACCCCCGGCTGCCCCCACAAACTATTATCACCTCATGCGCGTCGGACGACCTGGCTTGATACCCGTGAGCCCCTCTAATTATGCTTCCCCCTAATCCTCCCCTGATAAGTCCAATCTCATGACCAGCATCCAACCAGTCACCCCCACCTACTGACACAGACTTTCACTCCCGCGTAAACTACACACCGCGACTGACGCTCTCCGTGAACGGACGCTTATCTCTGTTGCAAGCAAACAGCCAACTTTCGGCAACCTGCCCTGTGTACAGAATAAACTAGTCCTCCCAGCTCCCTGACTTCTGACAGTAGACGAAACGAACTTATTGTGCGTGGTTTAAGTTGATCTCACATCCTTGACCGCCACAAATTGGTGACCCCTAATTTCCGAACACTGGAATTCCGCAAAATTTCGTCCACAACAACAATCTTCCGGCAACCTACAGCGCGATGTCCCAAGACCAGAAGTCACTCATCAACTCAAATTCTCAAGGAGCTGGCGTCCGCTTGGATCGGCTCGAGGAGGTATTAATTCGCCTGAAAGTCCAGCTCACTGCAGTTACCACTAACGGCCCGCGGCGAACACCAAACCGTCGCCGTACTTCCTCCGTTTCCCACACTCGCCGTTCACAATCTCCAAGTAGCGTCTGCTGGTATCACCAACAATTTGGAGGAACAGCTCGACGATGTCTTCAGCCATGCTCTTTCAAGGCATCTGTAACGGCCTCAGGGAGACGATCCCACCCGACAGTAGAGGCCACTGCTACTGAAAGCGTTGCCAATCTTCACACTCGCCGTCTGTTTCTCTGGGACCGTATCGCTGGCGCCAAATTCCTTGTCGACTCTGGTGCCGAGGTTAGCGTGGTTCCACCAACTCCGGCCGAACGTAAAACCCGCAGCTCTTTTTGTCTAACAGCTGCCAACAACTCCAGCATCCTCACATTTGGACAGCGTTCCATCACACTTGATTTGGGCCTTCGTCGAATTTTCCGATGGGTTTTCATTATTGCCGACGTTTCCGTCGCCCTCATAGGCGCCGATTTCCTAGCTCACTTCAATCTTCTAGTTGATTTGAAGAATCGCCGACTCGTCGACTGCATCACCGACCTTCATGCCCGATGTCAATCCGATGTGAACCCCTGCGTCAACCCTCTCACTGTTATGCCCATCTCTGACTGTCCTTTCCACTCACTCCTCAGGCAGTTTCCCCGCCTGACCAACCCCTCATTTCGTGAAGTGGACATCAAACACACAGTCACTCACCACATTTCCACCAATGGACCTCCCAAATCTTGCCGACCACGTCGTCTAGCACCGGACCGTTTGAAGATCGCCAAGGCAGAGTTCGAACACATGCTTGAGCTCGGCATCATCCGACAGTCCGACAGCTGCTGGGCATCACCCCTCCATCTTGTTCCAAAGAAGAGCGGCGACTGGCGACCGTGTGGTGACTATCGGGCGTTGAACTCAGCGACGGCCCCCGACCAGTATCCCGTCCCGCACATCCAAGACTTCACTCTTTCGCTACATGGTAAGCGAATATTCTCTAAGATCGACCTTGTGCGTGCCTACCACCAAATCCCAATCGAGGCCAGTGATGTGCCGAAGACTGCAGTGACCACTCCCTTTGGGTTATTCGAATTTACTCGTATGCCCTTTGGTCTGAGGAACGCCACTCAAACCTTTCAGCGATTCATTGATCAGGTTCTGCGAGGTCTCGACTTAGTCTACGCCTATATTGATGATTTGCTGGTGGCTAGTTCTGACGCTGCTGAACACGAGCTTCATCTTCGACAACTCTTCGAACGACTCGACTCCTTCGGCGTTGTAATAAATGCTGCTGAATGTGAATTTGGAGTCCCCAGCCTTATCTTTCTTGGTCACGAAGTGAACTCAGATGGGATAAAGCCCGTCCCGGAAAAAGTTTCGGCCATATCAACGTTCCCCGTCCCGACAACCATCAGCCAACTACGCCGATTCTTGGGGATGGTGAACTACTATCACCGTTTTCTTCCCCATGGTGCCACCATACTGCAGCCTCTCAACAGCTTGATGACCCACTCCAAGAAGACACTAGTGATGACCGAGGAGGCCGTCAGGTCCTTCAATGACGTCAAGGCCGCACTTGCGGACGCAACATTGCTTGCCCATCCTCGCTCAGATGCCCAGCTAACTCTCATGACAGATGCTTCCAGCACTGCAGTTGGTGCATCACTGCAGCAAACTGTTGTTGGTGTTCTACAACCTTTGGCTTTCTTCTCGAAGAAGCTCAGCCCTGCAGAGACCCGCTACAGTGTCTTCGGCCGAGAACTCCTTGCCGTTTACCTATCCATCCGGCACTTCCGCCATTTCCTCGAGGGTCGTGAATTTGTTGTTCTAACAGATCACAAGCCACTCGTTTTCGCACTGAGGGCCTCTCCCGATCGATACTCGCCCCGTGAAATTCGTCATCTAGACTTCATCTCACAGTTTTCCTGCGTCATCCAACATGTCCACGGTAAGGAAAATGTGGTTGCCGATGCTCTTTCAAGAATCGAGATGGCTTCCATCACAACTGACGCCATAGACTTCACACTCATGGCTGAGGCTCAGCGATCGGATGACGAGCTCTCCCAATACCGCCACGAGAACTCTTCTTTACGCCTTCAAGATGTCCCCCTTCCCACTGGCACTGGCACCATCACGTGTGACCTTTCTACCGGACACGAACGTCCTTTTGTTCCAGCAACTTTACGACGACGAGTGTTCAACGCTCTTCACAATCTATCCCACCCTGGAGTCCGGGCGACAGTGAAACTCATCACGGACCGATTCGTCTGGCCCAACATCAACCGGGATGTACGGCGTTGGACCCGCTCCTGTCTACCATGTCAACGAGCCAAAACGCATCGGCATACTATTACTCCGCCAGGAACTTTCGCCACTCCTGATGCACGCTTCAGTCATGTGCATATTGACCTGGTAGGTCCACTGCCACCATCTAACGGTTCTACCTATATGCTGACATGTATTGATCGCTTTACTCGGTGGCCGGTTGCTGCGCCCATTCCGGACATCAATGCCGAAACCGTAGCAAGAGCTTTCTTGATTCATTGGGTGTCCAATTTTGGAGTTCCTGCGACTGTCACCACTGACCGCGGATCCCAATTCGAGTCCACGCTGTTTCGCGAACTCATTTCCCTTCTCGGTACCAACCGAATCCGAACAACAGCGTACCACCCTCAAGCAAATGGTCTCGTCGAACGCTTCCATCGACAGCTCAAAACTTCCCTTATGGCCCAACCCAATCCTTCCCGATGGTCGGATCACCTTCCCCTGGTGCTGTTGTCCCTCCGTACCACTCTCAAGGCCGACATTGGTTGCACTGCGGCTGATCTTGTCTACGGAACCTCCCTACGACTGCCCGGTGAGTTAGTGTCTCCCTCAAACATGCTAACGTTTTTCGAACCTTGCAGTTATGTGGAGCAGCTGCGTAGTGTCATGCGCAATCTCCGCGCAACGCCCCCTCGGGCGTCACCGGCCAATTTCTTCATCCCTCCCGACCTAGATAAGTGCAATTTCGTCTTGGTTCGGCATGACGCTGTCCGACGACCACTCCAACCACCCTATGACGGGCCGTATAAAGTCCTTCGTCGATCTGACAAAGATGTTGTCATCGACCGCAACGGCAAGACCGACACAGTCAGCACTGATCGCGTCAAGCCGGCGTTCATCGACGACAGTGACCATTCCTCACCCCAACACTGCACCCCGCCACAAACACTGATGCCTCCACCTACTGGCGACAGCCCCCCTCCGGTTCGCCGCACACGATCTGGTCGTCACGTCCACTGGCCCGACCGGTTTGTGGCTGGCTAGCATGTCGACGCCTTCACTCCGTTTGGTGTCTGGGGGGGAGTTGTAGCGGCCGCTCCAGTTCTCCTTTTCTCCGGCTCCGTTTTGTCGGTCGATGGCCGCGACAATTGTTGCCAGGCCGCTGACACACAACCACCCCCGCCGATTATAACTGGACCCCCCCCCCTCCTCCTGTCCAGCTGCAGTGACCCCCGGCTGCCCCCACAAACTATTATCACCTCATGCGCGTCGGACGACCTGGCTTGATACCCGTGAGCCCCTCTAATTATGCTTCCCCCTAATCCTCCCCTGATAAGTCCAATCTCATGACCAGCATCCAACCAGTCACCCCCACCTACTGACACAGACTTTCACTCCCGCGTAAACTACACACCGCGACTGACGCTCTCCGTGAACGGACGCTTATCTCTGTTGCAAGCAAACAGCCAACTTTCGGCAACCTGCCCTGTGTACAGAATAAACTAGTCCTCCCAGCTCCCTGACTTCTGACAGTAGACGAAACGAACTTATTGTGCGTGGTTTAAGTTGATCTCACATCCTTGACCGCCACAGGATAACTAGCCGGTGATCTGTGTCTTACGGGAATTGTGATAACGAGGGTTTTACGGGTGGGGCAGTACGCACGTAGGATGGAAGGTTAACTTCAAGGAACCGTGGAAAATAATCGAATTTCGGTCATAAAACCCAACATGCGCTGTTGTATAGCAACGGGAAGTTAACGCGATAGTAAAAAAAACGAACAAAAAGTAATCTCCAAAAAATAATGGAGTTCGGATGAGCCGCCGGTGGTAGGTCTATATCCGGTCAGGCAAACAAGGCGATTCCAGCCAACGGGAATGACTACCGATAAGTGACGTTTCCACTCCCGCTAATTTTTAATGCAAGCGTTTGAGTTGTCAAAGAGTGGTTGCGAACCCAAATCAGACGATCGCAGAATGCAGCACGAATCCTGAGTAATGTAAGTATAAGCGAATACTCTTGAACGCTGTTAAGTGTAGGTGTTCAAAAGCTAAATCTACGGAAACCCGAGCTGTGTAGAGGTGACTGGCAATATATATGTAAATATAGAAGACTACAATGTAAATAAGCGATGACGGCAGTGTGAATAGAAAACATTTATCGGAGAAGAGTATTTTCTAAGTAATTATTTGTTTCTCCTAAAATTGCGGGTCACAAGTCGCAGCAAAACGGGGAAACTGAACCGCACCTAGATCAACGTGCGAAAACTGAAGAAGTAATGGAAATCATTAACTCCGGGAAGATTGTGGAGTGCAGCCAAGCCAGCGGATTACTCTCAACGGTGCTAACCTCTCAATACCGATACCAGATGAGGCTGCAAGTCGGGAAGCATAGGACGGACGGTTGTGTGTTCCGGTGTGCAAGATGCAGAAAGCACTTGAGACTTCATTGGTGTTTGAGAGGAGCCGATCAGCGATCGGAACAATCATGAATATCTGGCTGGCGTTTTTGCAGGGAAAAGGGTCACTAAGTGCGAATATGTTGCTGTGGTTCGGCCTGAACGCCATGGGGCTAAAGAAAAACATGGGAAATCTGCCTGTCGCACATTGCGAATGCCTCCACAGTGCACCAGTAGCCGACGTGTTCGAAGTAAAGGAACGTTAACATAAACGGTACATTGCCGGACTGTGAATGAATATGCGCACAAAAAGTCGGTTCGACAAAACTGTCTTATAATTCCCTTGAGCTAAGTCCCAATTATACAAATTTTGAATGCAGGGAAATGCCTACACTCGCCTCGGTACATGGAGACAGCCGGGTTAATGCGACGTTTCTCGACTCTTTGAGCTGATCTCAAGGGAAGTAATAACTGAGAGCAGAGAAGTGTCTGCGATGGCCTCGGAACATAGGCAGAGCGGGGGGCGGCACGATCGATTCTCGACGGTCTGAGTTAAGACCAAGGGGTGCTCGACTTCTCTGACCTAAGCTCAAGGCAAGTAAATGTGGAGTGCAGAGTAATATCTGCGTTCGATTTGATACCGGTGGGAAACGAAAGTATTGCGATCGCTGCTCGACTCTCTGAACAAAGCTGACGGCATGTAATATCTGAGAGCAAGTTAGTGCCTACCTCACCTCGTTACATGGAGAGCTCAGTAAGCAAATAAGTGTTAAAATAAAAACACTAAAAAGAAATATAATTTGAAAGCGAACACGTTCATTGGGAAAAGCAGAACACTTTATTAAGTAAATTTTCGACGCCGGTCTCCCAGGTCGTCGTCAGACTGCTGCAAATGTCCAAAAAAAATTCATCTTAATCCAACTGTGAAAAACTCGGCGCTTCGGTGGGATTCGAACCCACGACTGTAAGGGGAGGACTTTGGTACAGCCAACGCTCTAACCACCCGAGCTACGAGGTTAGAGCGTCGGTTGTACTAAAGCCTTTCCCTTAATGTTGTGGGTTCGAATCCCGCCGACGCGCCGAGTTTTTCACAGTTGGCTCAATATGAATTATTCAAAATCTGCAAAAACATCTGCAAAAAACAATTAGCATTTCAAACGTGCTGAAAAATCAATATTCTACAACCTACCGTTGCCGGCCCAAATGCTATTGAGAAGTTAGACACTTCTGTACTGAAGGGTCTAAGGAGACCCTTCATATCTGCCGCATAGTTTGCTCAGACGTCCTGCATGAATACAAATGCAATTATGATTATATTTACCCCGAGGACAATTTTTTGGATAGAGTTGAACGCTATTTACTCAACCTGCGATTAAAAAGGACCCAAAATCGAATTCTTAACAGCCCATTCTTCTGAACATCAGTTTTCCACTCTCGGTATCTATTCACCTATGTAGTCTCCTGAGGTGAATCACAGAAAAAAAATGGACTTACGAAGGACTGCAGGCGAGACCTGGTCCACTCTCCAACAAGGAATTTACCGAGTTGTCTAGCTGCAAACTACCGTCCAGACAGCTTAATTAATTTAGTGTAAAAAATCACGGAGGAAATGCGTCGCAGGCTTTGACTTGATTTTTTAAACTAACGTGAATTTGAAAGTCCTAAGCAATGTCATCTTCCTCAAAGGTCTGTTGAATGCTAGAAAAAAACCGTCTGTTGTTAGCTTGACTACGAACGCATTTCATGCCGTTGGCACATGACCCAAACTGTCAGTTCAGGCGACCCTCATCCCAGTCTGTGATCGAGCCCCGACTTCCCCTTAGTGATGTGAAGCAGCTGCAAGTGTGGTCTAACAACACTCTCGTGTCCCATAGTGATGTAACATTCTAAAACAGAATCGAACAATGCTTCTACTCAGGAAGATGTGGTCCGTGTATTCACATGGTTTGACATACAGGGTGTTGCAAAAATTTCATGAATCCCACTTCGTCTTGAGCAGCGGAGATTTAGATTTAAAAATGCGTCTGCTCACAGAGTCAAATAATGAAGGCATTCTTTGAGCCGAATCTGCTGCTCTCCCGGAAAGTTTTATCTCTGCCATCGAGGCGACACTTACAAGCAACTGCTTGGGCGCACTGGGAGTTTATCCTTAATTGTCGACACTTGCAAAACCATCTGGAACAGAACGTCGCATATTTCATGCTAGATTTGTTTATTGTATCTCAAGTACTGTTCGCCTGAATGGTCTGTATACCTAGTGTGGGACAGTGAGGTCCGGAAAAAGTTCAACTTCAGTCAGCTAATCTCTCTGCTTTATTCAAAATGACAGATCATCGCCTACGCAGGCTCAGACATCTCCCATGAGAGGTAGGGCAACAGAATGCCGACCTCACCGAAGCGTATAGACTAGTAAACAACATAAGTTATGCAGTTTGGTTTACCTTTCGGCACAGCGATAAGATCTTCAAGGGAACGTCAGAAACTGCTAAAAACATGCTTAGCCACAAGTAATCGGTAGACAGATATTTTACATGTTATCCAGCCTTGAACAGGAGTGCCAGTAGAAGCGGTCGTAGCCTCTATTTACTAAATGTTTGGGAAATACCCAGACTTTTTATTGCAGTCAGAACCGGCTCTTAAGGTGCAATGATAAGTGTTACTGTTTCCAGAGTTATGTGCTATTCCTTAATTTTGGGCATAATGGTTGCTCTTTTATGTTCATTTGTGTGGGTCCCCAACCAAAAAAGTAAAAGATATATGTTATTCCCATAAATTTTACTTACTGCATCTTAGACCTCTTAGCATGCACACTTTATTGCCCCTTCCTCTACTGCCTCTCGTTTTTCATCTGGTCTGTTTTTGGATCCTTTTGAGCACTCTGAGTAGTCAGGCTGCATTTGGTCATTTTAGCTGCTGGCTGCTGCTTCGCTGACGGTATTAACCTAACTTCCTTTTTTATATATTCCCGCCTAGCACTTCAATGCACTGCCTAGGTTTCATATCCTTGCCGATCCTGGCAGGACTCTTTGGACGTTTGGGGATCCGGAGAAGTTCGGCAAACAAGTAGAAAGAATGCTCATCCCAGACCTCGCTGACATTGATCCGGTTTGAATGTCAATCCGCTGCCTTCCTCGCTTTCAGAATGGAGGAAATTCCAAAGGGCGACTTGCGGGCTTCACCCCTACCTGCGAGTGGGATTTCCGCTTAATATGCGCTTATTTCACTGTTTTCATATTTTAGTCTTATATATTTGTCACTGGTTTCCCACTCAAACCGTTCTTTAACCGCCATGAAAACGAGGACATAAATGCAAATTACAACTTTTGACTTAACCCGACTAAATCGCTGTCTTCCTTAGACAACTGATATTTTGTTTACGAAACCACCTGAACTTTTCTTATAATAGTGGGATTTGCAATGCAAAACATGGGAAATTTCGAAAATAATTGTAGGAATAACCAAATATAATGCCGCAATAGAATATTTCAGTTGGGGCAGATGAAGGTAGGTCAGTGGACCCGACTTTCACAGATACAATCACTTCACTCACTGACTCCGCCAAGTGACAAAACCTCATAAAGCTTGCAATCTTAAAATGGTCAAGGTGCCTGTTCTGGTGGTCTAACCCTAGCACAGGTTAATTTTC